ATATATATGCCGCCGTATACATAAATATATGCTTTCAATAATCTTTTTTGCGTTTGTTTTGCTTATTTTCCTTCTTTGTCGTCCAGCGAAAAAATTTTTATTCCAAAAGTGAAGGTGGTCACCCCGTACCAGCTCAAAAGTGAAGGTAGGGGGAGACTTGGCTCCCACTATCGCACCTCTGATAGTGGTCCCGTGCGGAACGGCGGCATCGACAGTGGCGCATTCGCAAGGACCTAGGTGTATAGGCTGCTCAGTTCGTCTGCTCTATGCCCCCTCCCCCCCCCATCCCCCTCCCCCCCTACCCCCCCCCCCCACCCTCCCCCCCGGTCGACGGTTTTGGGAGGTGAGTGTCCGGCACTACCACCTTCACTTTTGGCAGCCAGGGGTAGCAGGGACCACCTTCACTTTTGGGGGACCCGGCTCCCCCTATCGCACCTCTGGGTGCGACATTGAATGATTTATTCGCCCAGTGATTTTTAGAAGTTAAAAATAGTAGTTTTTGGATGACATATTTATCTTTATCTTTATCATTACACTTTGAGTGTACCACTTGTACTGCAACATGTCAATATCGGGCCAGTAAATGTTCGAAGAGCAAGCAGAAAATGCTGGTACCTTAGTTGGTATGGGCAGGGATTTCCCAAGCAAGTATAATGCACCCATCATAAAGGAAGAGACTACAAGCCACCAAATAGTAAATTCATATGGCTGCATATATGTACCCTAAAATCTCACGGATGAGTACGCTTTTTGACATGAAAATCATATGCACCCTCGCACCGCCAAGAGTCTTGCAGATGAGTCCTCCATCAAATAAGTTCGGACTTATTGTAGCACTCCACACTCCCAAGCATACCATGCACAACCAAAAACCCTCAAATAGACGATAAGCGAAGATGAAAACGCACTAAATCAAAGAAGAAAATGCTTCAGTTAAAGAAGACTGTCAACTGTAACTGGCTTAACCAAAGGACCAAACGCTAGGTTAAGCGGTTGAGACCTTTAGTGTCAATACTCCCTAGGTGAAAGCTAAAAACAAGGGGATCTCTATTGCTGTACATTTTACCCCTATTGTATTTCGTAATCCTGGCATGATGTAAGTTGAAACCAGGGTCGGGCTAGAGCGGCGGCACAAACGCCGAATAGACCCCCCTGTGCCCGGCTGGGCGTCTCAGGGTTGGGCCAGACTACGCTGGGCAAGCGTCGTACGCGACGTACGCAGCGTACGCCGCGTACGCCGCGCATTCTGATCCAACCCCTAGACTCCCCCCCCCCCCCACCTCCCCGCTTTATCGTCTGCCTATGTTAGGCATGACATGAAGTCCTATCAAGCAAATGTATTACATATTCGTGATTAGCATGTCAAGTAAACCTTCTGGACTAAAGCGAATTCTGAACTTTTCGTATCTCAGGCAGCCTTTGAAATCGTCATTTTCATACATAATTTACTTTGTTTTGGTGGTGACCTAGCTACCTCTACTTGCACATGGTAAAAGTACTTTCTCTGCCCAAATGAGAAAACTTCAAATAACGGTCAAACCATGAAGTTCATTTAGTTGATCTATGTGGATTTCTTCGCTAAAAGTTTTTTTGGGGGTACAGGGCTTATCATTTTGTTGGGTGCACCAGCATCTCCACTCCCGCGCGGAACACTGCACCTCTTCCGCAAACATGCTCTCTAATCACACTCTATCGATTAGGGCTTCCTTTCCCACGCTCGCTGCGGGAAAGCGATCAGAGAGCATGTTCAGAAAGGGACGCAGAGTTCCGCGCGGGAGTGGAGATGCTGGTGCAACTGATAAGCCCTGTATGTTACTGGGGTGTGACAAAATTGAGTCGGTGCATTTTGTGTCAATCGCAAAAAAGCTGTGGCTGCCACACCTTTTGCCTCACCGGTTTTATCTTTGAAGCTTTCATGCATTAGAGCTGTTTGTATCCCTAAGAATTTTGAACCTTCTTCTCTTTACAATACAAATTTCATACAACATCGTTGCTTTTAGAAAATGAAATAGTCGTTTCCCAAGACTATGTTTACAAATACGAAACTACGGTAGTATGTCAAATCTGCGCTGCTAATATGCGAGGAAGATGACAAAAAGTATGTGCGTTCGATCTTATATATAAAGCTGAATGTGTGTTTGTATGTCTGTATGTATGTATGTCTGTCTGTATGTCTGTATGTACGTATGTTCCGAATAGAATTTTTATTTCTGAACCGATTCGGATCAAACTTGGCACGCATACACTTAGGGCCGCGGCGGGTGTCATAGGCTACTTTTCGTCATCGATCGATATCGATTTTATCGATTTTTATTGATTTTTTTGCAGAGTTCACGTACGGGCTGAGTTGGCACAGGGGGGTAATCGAGCATGGGGATTCCGAATACGATATTAGTTTTCAGAATTATCGATTACTTTTATCGGTTTTATCGATTTTTTTGCAAAGTTTGAGCTACGGGGCTGGGAGTTTGCACAGGGGGGGTAATCGAGCAGGGGATTACGAGTTCGATATTAGTTTGGCGCTATTCGGGCCCCAAAATTTTTTTGTGGTAGAGCTTGCTCACTTCGTGTATAAGGGTTATCTTAAGGGCCGGGCATACTTCAAGCGATATCGCGGCGCGGTTTGGCAATATTCCAGGTGTCCATAACTCATTGTAAGCACATTATAAATGAACAGAAGATAGGGCATTTTATCAGTTCAAGTAAGTCATGCACACTATGTATATGCAGTTTGCTAATGTTGGATCCGAAGACTTCTGGCGAATTGCCAGATCGCGTCGCGACTGAAATCGCGTGAAGTATGCCCGGCCCTTTACATGCTGATTACAGATATCACACTTTCTCCGTAGAACATCTTCCCGTGTGGTTACTATAGGTGTACGGTAGGAAGTCATCATGAATTCGGCTGGAGTTCAGTCCATATGGCTTATTCGGCATGCTAATTACGAATATCATCTCTCTCTGCATATTGGGACCTTTTCATAGAGATGTCGTGGTTATATGGCATGGGGTCGAAAACATAGATTTGCTTTAAACTTCGTCTAGGGTGGTCATTTAGCGCGCTGAAACAAATATCATGCTGATTTCGCAAACTAGTGCATTTTCTTGGGTTACGGTGGGTGTAGATGGGTCGAAGTTCCAGATTTGCTCAAAACCTTACCTGTAACGGTTCACAAGTATACTGCTTATGAATTGATGCTTCCTCGCTGTCATAACGCATCAGTGAAGTTATGGTGAATTGCAGGGTTTGAATGGACGTTTTTTCGCTTTCGGGCCAATTTAGATCCCAGATATTCACAAAATGGGGAAACGGTTGTTTTGCATGGCGGTCTCCAGCGCCATCCTGATAACCTGTCCCAACGTGCAACCAACGCGGCATATCTCCCTTCCCCTGTTTTTGCTTAGGCAAGAGCCGCCGAAGGGTGTCTCGCGCGCGGCAGTGGTCCTATAAGGGAAAGCATTACGGTCCTAAACTTTATACCACACGAAATGCCTTTATCGTGGGGATTGAGCACGATATTCTTGAAACAGCACTTTAGGTAATTTCCTGCCAAGGTTTCAGGCAGGTTCATGATTTTTACCTGCTGCCAGGCGAAATGACTACGATATTCGTCATCAGCTGCTTGAATAACCCCCATATACCGAGTTTGAGCAAGATCCACCTCAAAAACATTTTAGGGCCCAGATAGCCGAATAACGCCATCAGTTTTCAATTATCCTTACTTTTATCGAATTTATTGTTTTTTTGCAAAGTTTGAGCTGCGGGGCTGGGGGTTGGTGAGGAATAGGTGAGCATACTGATTACTCACACAGCGGGAATAGGGAATTGCATGTAGAAGTGTGCACAGGTAAAAGTGTACAGGGATAGAAATGGAACCTTTATCGTTTTTGACAGGGGCGGACGGAGCTGGGTAAGCCAGCTAGTAGCTCATTTATGAGCTACTAGTTATATGTCAGTTTTCACGAAAGTTTTTCGAGCCTAATTCGTCTGCTTTACTTTCATGTAGAGTCGCTGGAAGCAAAGCGAATATGACGCAAACAAGATTTTGTTGGTTCCTAAATTTATAGTTCGACTGTTATTTGAAGTGGAATTTCTCATACAAGCAAAGGAGTAGTGCTTTGTACTAAGTACAACAAGAGGTAGCTAACTCTTTCAAAACAAAGTTGGTCGTGTTCAAAGATTGCCATTTCATTTAAATGGCACGAAATTTTAAAAAAGAATTTGCTAGGCATTGATTCACAAGGGTCATTTGACCTGCCAATTACCAAAAGAATACTCATCATGCTTGGCAGGGCTTCTTTATTATGCTTACTGTACGTATGCGATGGTAGGTAGGTCTTCAGTGTACTTTTATTTGCAAAATTGGCTAACTGGCTTAGCTGACTTTGCTAACACATATCATTTAATCGCTGAAGTCAAAAACTAGTCGATTACGACCCCCCTTTTCCGACCCATCAATGCAACCCCCCAGGTGTAGCGTACCCACCCCATGCTTAGCCCTTGTTAAATCTCTCAAACTCTGAATAGCTGGCTGTAAGTCTATTACTTACTAGCTTTCAATCTGATGTTCCTTGGAAACAAAAAACAAACTTAGAAAAAATCGGCGACAACAAAGACTTCGCAGGGTAAGCTTTTTAAACCGTAAGCTAATAGAAGGAGCATCCCACCCATAAGGAAAGTTCGGAGTGAAAATTTGATGATCAGTGCAAAGCGTCCTGTATACATACTTAACAATTCTTTGCTGCTCAGTGAACTGGAAATTTCCTTTATATATTCGCTGCTCAATTGGTACAACAAGACTGGTAATAATTCAAGGAATGGAGAAACTGAAATGGATTAATTGACCGCGCACTAAAAGGCACGATACTATCACTTTATATAAGGAACCAGACTTTGAAAAAAACACATATTGACCCTGTCTTAATTCCTTTACATAGCTTCTTCACATTTTCTGGGAGCCAAACCATAGGTTCTAAGTCTTTCAATTAATTAATTTCAGATTTCATGGCATCTACACTTTATCTGCCAGATCCTCCAGGTAGATGATTTCGATTCATATCAAGACGTTAATGTTTTATTTTAGCACTATGGTCCTTTCAATCTGTGCGATTGGACATGATGATGCTACTTTTTGGCGCATCTGTGACGATTGGATGGATTCGTGGAAGTATAGGTGTGGTGATTTTGTGTGTTGTAAAGAGGTAAGTCATAGCTTCAGGGTTGTAAGTTTGCTCAACTCGAAAGATTTGCTTTCAGATTCAATAACCAAGTAGGGAGTTATGAGAATGATACTAAAGCTTTCACCGAGGTTATCCGCCAACAACACTTCCACAGTAAGGTATAAAGCTTACCGGTTGATGTTTAGCAAGCGCAAGAGTTGATTCGTTCGATCCCGTTAATTCGCATTCAATTCTCTTTTTGATATGAACTCCATAGTGAACTTAGAGTTCCACAATTGCTACTCAGTGCAAAAATAAAATTTAAATATGGAAACTTAGCTGTGTTTTATAATGGGTACCTAAACGGCGCTGTTTGGCTAGTCTGAGCTGTGACTGGTCCCATCAAAAGGCATCAAATAACTAATGCCAAAGCAACAGCCGCTAAAGTGGTTATGCTAATCACGGCAAGTGGGCTGTTCTCAAGCTTGGCATAATAGGCGATCTCAAAAACTAAAACTCCATATTTCCCTCAATCGCAAAAGCTGTTTCTACCAGATGTAGTAAGCGTAGCGGAAAGCGGCTGAGTTGCAGTAGGGTTCTTTAATTACTGCAAATAAGATCTGCTATGCAACGTGGTAATGGTATTTGAGCTTCATTAGCACAAAATTTGAACACAATGTGTGTGGAAGTTGGGACACAGCAGGCTTGACATGTTGTGATACCTATTTTCATAGCATAATTATTCTTTATCTATGCCTTATACTTTGCTCCTATAATATAGCGCTTGCTTCCTATGCCTATAGTTGAAAGAGCCTGAAACCATTATTAGAAGTTTTTTTGTTGATTTTGAAATACTACAGCAGACTTTGTTTGCTTCTTTTATGGTTTATCAAAAAACAATGTTCATATGATTCTTCAATACTGCTGTGTCTGACATGTCTGTTAGGTGTTCTTTATTCCAATCAAGGCCTAACGTTTCAACGCCTTTCGTCTTCCTCAGAGGCCTGAAAATGGCTCAAAGCGTCACCTATGAAAAGAGTCCATCAAGCATGGTGAGGACGATTTCGATATAAAATGCGAAATCTTAACCCATGAAAAGGAAGCGATCATCGAAGCGCATGGTGAGGACGATTTCGATATAAAATGCGAAATCTTAACCCATGAAAAGGAAACCTCGGCTAGGAAGGCGCTGGAAGCATTCTGGATTTCTGCAAAGAATCCAGCAATGAACAATAAGAATGAGTGCTTGTCAGTCACCAACGACTTCCTCCCATTCATATCGTTATGCAATCTATAGATCACATGCTATGTGCATTTATGGTTTAGTTCAGTCCATCCGCCAAGACCATCACTTCCGGTGCAGAAACTGACGTAGCGGTGTTCTTGTATGTTCATTTTCTGGCGCTGACAATTTTTGCGGTAAGGATATTGAGCGAAGATCGAGAACTAGCAGGATTGGGGATGGTGCTTGATGGACACTTTTCATAGGTGACGCTTTGAGCCATTTTCAGGCCTCTGAGGAAGACGAAAGGCGTCGAAACGTTAGGCCTTGATTGGAATAAAGAACACCTAACCAACCTGTCAGGCACAGCAGTAATAAAGAATATAAACGATGCCGAAGTTTAAGGAAAGTGGAACTTTTAAATGTTCATATGATTTATACGATAACAGCTATAGAAAAAAGTGATCAGCACAGTACTAGTTAGGCGGCACAACACGCATATATGAGGAATTTTCTGGAAATTTGCAGGTGTCTTTTGATGAAAAAGGTATTTAATTTATCACCAAAGCGTATGTTCCAACGCGTTCTCTTGCCCCCACGACATTCAGATTTATATATAAGACAATAACCTCTCTGGCACACCCGGCTTGGGCCGTCCCTGTCAATGCTCTATGATACGATGAAGATGGCCAACTCCAATTTCTGCAGGTTTCCCTGTTCCTGTCCCAATTTATATGCCATCTCCCTATCTCCACCATGTTTTCGTAATTAGCACGCTCATTTATCCGCCTGTGCCAACTTTTAGCCCTGTAGCTCAAATTCTGCAAAAATGGACAAAATTGATACAGATAAATGATAAATTCGCAAGGGCTCTTTCGCCACTCCTCAAGCCTACGTCTTCCTTCGCTATCTTGGCTTGGCGCTTCCGAAGATTCTGCAAAGCTGTTCTGGTTCTGTTCTTGTTCTGTTCTGCAACTGGCGCCTTCTGTTGAGCTGTCCTGCTACTGGCGTTGGTTGGTTATCAGTCGCCACTCGAGATGGGTTGTATACCATACCATATGTCTTGGGGGTGACTGGTCCGCACTGTATATGGTTCCTTCAAGAATCTTCTTCTTTCGAGTAATTCCGTGGTCTTCGAAATGCGTTCCAAGTCCTTCTCACAAGAAAAAGATACTTTCTCGAAGTGGCGTTCTCCTTAAAATGTAAACTGTCCTATAGAGCACTAATGTATACCCGGCTCCGTCCAGCTCTATCAATACAAACGGCCATCATATTTGTAATCCGCAGCTCACTTACCCCCCTATGCCAATTCCCAGCCCATAGCTTGAAACTTGCAGAAAGTCGATATCGATTCTCTTAAAATTAGCCTGTGACAATCTCCCCGCCTCGAACTGTATATTTGCCAAGTTTGGTACGTATCGGTTCAAAAAGAGGAATTTCTATTTGGAACATACGTGTGTGCAGAGCGTGCAGACAAACAAACACATACGCATACACGAACAGACATTGAGCTTTATATTAGGTCTGTCCGAAAGTTTTTTTCGTTTTTTGACCTGTCAGAAATCTAAACAACTTTTTTTCCAGAAGCCAATTTTTTTGCGAAGTTGCAAAATAAACAAACGCTTCAAACACTAACAAACCTTCGGATTCGAAACTTTCAAAAATCGATCATGATTATTACAATCATTATACACTAGTTTAAAAAACAATATTTGTTACGATTATTCTGCTGTTTTTATGACAGGTCAAAGACCGGAAAGAACTTTCGAAACCCAATATATAAGATCAGGTGGGTGCAAAGCTGTAGCGTATTTTCTTAAGCTATTCAAAAATCACTTCCATAACTTTATATGCAAAATGTAGACTTTTTCCATCACACCATTAGCTGAGTTTTTCAGAAAACTCAATCATAAAAAGAGTGCGTGTGAATTTCAGTTTAAAATGTAGCTATATAAACTGTTTCAACAAATAAAGCGTGAGGTTCGTGCTGGCTTTACTATCCTTGTGCCTTCTTCGTGCTCGCATAATGATGATTTTGGAACTTACCGCGCGATGCCGTTCATCACGAATGAATTGTAAAACACCGTTTATTCTTGAAGGTTTTCTATGTAAGATCGATAATTTTTGGGAGAAAAATTTTTTCCATAGAAGAACAAATGCGAATTTGAATGGGTTACCGAATTCATTTTGGCTTTATAGTCGCCATCAGGATAATAGTCACCTTGGGCTACATATCTAATCTAAAATCCTTTTTAAGGTAAAAACTTGGCAAACTGACAATTTGCGCAGTTGCACCTTTTTTGCGCCAATTTTGCGTAATAGACTTTTTGCCTACTTTTTGGGTTGATGTCAATGCTTTTCCATTTGCTTGTTGAATAAATCCTCGATTTCGCGAAAAGTCCAATTACCGACCCATTTTGGCGAGCCAAAAGTCACGTAAATTCGTTTGACGCACAGCTTTCAATGGTTGCATTTGCTGTATCGGTTTGTGCTTTTGCAGTTTACCTACACGCTGATAGGGTGCTCTGACAAAAGTTCTAGCTCAAGACGTTGGCTGCACCACTCTATATGAATTTCGTGACAGACAGGCATACAGACAGACAAACAGACAGACTCTTAGCCCTTTATTATAAGTCATGATGGCTAAGCAAATCTCGCGTTACTTCTTGAATTTTCACATTTTCAATAGCCACCAAAATTTCATTGCATTCACTTTCCCAGCCGGGATTTCGAGCGCATTGATTGAATCTTGAAAACGTATGTGAGAGAGAATCTACATTTTACACATTTTTCATCTTATCTCTCGCAATTGTTAGTTTGGCTAATAAAAATGTTCCAATATGCAAAGCGTTTTGTAACCATTCAAGAAACATTAGTTTAGCTGAAATCTTTTTTATGAGAAGGTAGCTACAAACCTCTGCTCTCACATATCAGATTCAAAAGTTTCCGTCATCAATGAATGTCAATTATGCCCTTATTTCGAGTCTCTAAAAATCAATATCTTAATTTTCTCATTTTTTCGGGCTGTAGTGGTTGCATGAGTTTATCGATGATTGAATACATATAACATTTGGCTACATGACGAACCATTTGTGGTCTGCTCTCTGTGAACTTGTGCAGCCGAATATGTGGACTTTCCAAGCCTTTGCGGTGGAATCAGTTCAGGGTTCGACCATCTATGGCCAAGCAAATGGTTGAAAAATTGAAAATCTACTGTGTGGATACTAATTGTACATTTGAACCCGGCTTCGATTCTTTTTTCGAGCATGTTTTTTTCGAAAGTTTGATGGAAAAATCTGAACATTTTCCTCTCCTGCACCATTTCGCCAAGAAAAAAATTTTTAATGAGCTAAGTATATCAAGAACATTATCCGATCTCCTTGATTTTTCTTCCAACGGATCGTAAATTTAAACATAAATAAGCCTGTAACACATCTACAAACCGTTAGAAACGACCGAACTTATTCTTTAGCCAATAATATTCAAATTAAGAAATCGAAGCCCCAAAATCCTTCTATAATATCTTTTGGAATCTGCCAAGGCGATACGACGGGGTACTCTCCTCCCCCATATGCTTTACTGTTGTGCTATGTGTTCTTTTACAGTGTTAAGAGGAGATTTGCGATAGCGAGGGCAGGCCAGATTATACGTCATACGAAATATAACTGCGATATATTGAACTAACAAGGATGTGCAGAGAAACGCCCCGCCTCGCCGAGATAGTAATGATGCGAGCACGCATTCAATAAGCCTTGCATATGGCTTGCATGACAGCGAAGGAAATTGTTGACGGCGTTCGTAGTCAGTTTCCAGACTATATGCACTTTAAGTGCAAATTATAGAGCTTGCTCTGCATAGAATGTGCAAGTATGGGCAGCGTCGGCAACAATCGTCAAAGATCACCTCCTCAGTCACAAACGAGCAAAGAAAGAGATCAACTGCTTGTCATGTACGAAGCTCAAACAACAACGAAACATTGATTCCAGACTACCAAATTAGGCAGTCTGGCCCTCAGTCGCTATCATAACTTGGAAAACTGCCGCTCTATCTTGCTTCCTATCCTGTTCAATGCTTCTTACAATAAGGACCAGTTGGCCGCCTTTCGCGGCCAACTGGTCCTTTCGCAGTGTTCTTGCATGTCGTTCCCGGGCCAGCAGTCCGCGGAGGCAGCCCAAACTGGCGGCTTTCGTTCCCCTACTTTTTGAAATCAATATGAAAATAGGATGATATAATCTATCAATTTTAAAGGAATTCGCTGAAACCTCACTCCTGGGTGCTTTTACTTTGTGAAAATATTGCTTTTGCATCTGGAAACAAAAAAAACAGAGGGAGCTACGTTCTGTTGGGAGGAAAGAATCAGTCACTTTTTGCGGTACCGTCTGCACCCCAAAGAGGTTCCCGTGTGAACCAGCGTGCGTATGTGGTGCGACGCTGCCTTTCGCTCTTTTTGACACGTTTCTCCTGAGATTTCAACGGAAGTGTCCGAGGTTAACACGTTCAAAAGTGCGAAAGGCAGCGAGATGACGTGGTACCTATGGGAACCTCTCTGGGGCGCAGACAATAGTTCATTTTGCTAAATTTCTAGGATGCAATGCTGAATTTCATAAAAACCTGTAAAACTTGTTTTTGGGTGCTTCTACATTGTGAAAATATTGTTTTTATCTCAAGGCAAATGAGCAGAGGGAGCTTGGTCTGCTGCAAGGAAAGACCAGTAACTCCATATGGGAACACATTTTTGCCAGCTAGATTTCAATGTCAAATCGGAATCGGAAACTTGCTGAACATTTGTTTTTTGGCTGGCTCTGCTTTGTGAAAATCCTACTTGTCAATAAAAACAACATAGCAGAAGGAGTTCGTCTCAAGGAAAGAAAAGATTCAGTGAGCTCATGCAACAGGACATTTCTGATATGATTCTTTAGGATTCATTGCTGAATCTCACAAGAATTTGATTGAAATCCACTTGGGCCGCTTCTATTTGCGAAAATTATACTTGCAAAGAGCAAAGAAAGCAAAGGGGGAGCTTGGCCTCGAAGGAAAGAAAGCTCTAAAAGCTTCATGCGGCAGTGCATCTCTGCTGCGAATTTCTCATCAATGCTAAATTATACAAAAGCTCGCTTGAAATCCACTTTTGGCCGCTTCTACTTCGCAAAAGTTGTACTTCTGATCCTAGAAGCAGAAAAGGCAAGGGAAGCTTCGTCATCTTGGAGGAGGAAGACTCAGAGGCTTCATGCGGCGGGGTATTTTTGCTAAGATTGCCTAAGAGAAAATTTTGAGCGAGCTTTGGTCTCGCTTCAAGAAATAACCGTTGCTTGGGGGGAGATTATAAGTAGAGTATGGGACTGTGCACGGTAGCAAAGATCGGTGTGTTTGCAGCCGTTACACAGTTCCTGAATGTGAGCCTAAGTTTTGGGTTGAATCAGCTGTTCCACATGGATGTGCTGAGATGCTTCCCAGTTTAGGAATTGCAGTATCTGGAGTAGGGTATTTGCAAGAAGAACAGCGTAGTTAATTTGTTAATTATCAATTGTCAAAAGCTCCCTGAGAGTATGATCTTGCTTCTACTACTACTTACTTAGGCCAGAGATAGAGAAAATGGAAAGTTAGTTTCTTGTTATTCTTAGTTACATGCAGACAGTTATCAATGATCTGCCCCAACCCACTCACTAGCGACCCATGGGTCGCTAGTGTATAATCAATGCGGTCATTCCTTGGCCAAAAAATCTACAAAGAAGGCAATCCTATGCTTTGCTCATCTTTGTAAGCATAATCAAATTTGTTCGACTTTCTGCAAAATCATCAGCTATTCAGTGCATAGTGAGTCAGAATATTTGTAAATAGAGACTTCAATACTATTTTTTCTTTTAACTAATTCAAATCATCCCCCTTTATCAACAATTGCACTAATGGCTTGCGTGCTGCACTACTAGTAAGCCATATCAACAAACCTCGAAAAGAGCTATGATTTGTCAAAGACGAGCTTTCGAATAAACACTTTTTTTGTTTTGACTCGTGTTTTTTCCCCGTTGGTGAAATCAGTACAGCAGTGGCGTACCGAGGAAGGGGGGGGGGGGGGCGGGGACGCGCCCCCCTCCCTACGGGTCGCGAAATTTTTGAAAGTTGCTTATATGAGGTATGAAAATGCGCAATGACTTTTTTTAATTTTTTAAAAATTCATTTTAGCCTTATGAAAAAATTTTTCGGGGTGAGCCCGCGAAAATTTTAGGGAGCACACCAAAAAATCTGCTCACTCTGCCGTACTGACTGCAGCTGACTGCAGCGGTCGCAGGATGTTCACGTAAAAAGAAAGAACGGCCTCGATTACTACCGAAACGCTTGTATCGAAAGATCACATGTTCTGATTCCACTCTTTTTGGTCAATTTTTTCTTTCTTGTTAGAAATCTTATTTTAGGATCCACATGCGTGGCTTTCTCCCACAATGCAATCACTTCTTCACTCTAGCTACTACTTTGGGGGACTGTTGGGGTTGATTACAGCTGCACCTCTTATCAGAAAGTAAACGACTCCTAATCTGCAAGCTTGATATCTTTAGAAACTATTTGCAGATTTCGTTCAAAGCGAGTTTTGACCTTTGGTTTGTTGCTCAACTCGTTTGGCTCTGTCCTAACAACTTTGGTAGCTGCCACGTTGCCATACCTGACAATTCTACTTCTTCGAGCTTTGATGGGTTTTGGAAGCGGTAAGAATTAAGCTTATGATTTATGATTTATTTGCCTTCCATATTATTACAATGTGCGGCACCCAAACAAACTGATCCATTCTTTTAACGTGAGTGGTCTTACTCTTTGCCAGTTGCAAATGCCAAGCTTCTTCTGAGATTCGTCTCTCCATCTCGTCATATCGAGTCGTGTTCTCTTCAGGGCTTCTTGCAGTTCATGTAGTTGGACTTCATTTGGCAAGCGTCTCACGTTGAATGTTCCGATGTGTAAACAGTCGTTGTTGGGGTAGAACATACTTGATCCTGCTGTTCCGAGGCTTCCTGGATCAAGGGGTTCGACGTCCAGTAGGGTGGGGAAGAGCAATTAAGCAGCAGCAAGAGAATTAAGCTTACAAGATTTTATTTCGATTTTCAAGTATAAGCTTTTTTCCTACTTTTCTTGATTCGACCTTGACCTTCACCATAATTCTTCACCTGTCCTACTCCTGCACCAGAATGCTCGACATAGCTTTTCTCCCTTTCATGCACACAATCAAAATCTTTTATCATGCAGATCATAGGAAGAACTTTGAGCTCGCACTGTCATCACAGGTATTTTTTGCGTAGCACACAAGTTTCATTGTGGCAATCTTAATTGCACGACACTGAGCTTGCGCACACCCTATACGCGAACGCACTTACTGCCGCGCAGCCCGCTGCCGTATAACAAAGGACTGGATTGAATGCGGGAAGAACAATTGAAAAAAAGTCAACCTAGTTCTAAATCGTCCAATTCACACCGTAAGTTTCGTATCCTCTCCTTACTTGACAATCTTCCTTCAGTGCAATGTGATGTGGCAGATTTCTAGTGGGGACCTTTACGGAAATTCGATCCAGAGAATCCATCTCGAAAAATGGCAAAAGCCAGCATTTTCCAGAACTTAAAAGAATGAAACAATTTTTGCTAAAGTTGAAGACGCAACGTTGAGGAAACTTTGTATCATGAACGTAGCACCTTCAATCAAAGTGGGCCCTTGTCAGGTTTTTGATGGTTCATATAGTAGAGTTTCTAAGTACACCATGGCCCCGGTCTCAAACTCCTTGAACCTGGTATGCTTTAAAGTTTCAGCAATCCACGCGGTGTGTCTGTGTAGCCTGATTCGTGCATGAACGATTCTTCTTGCTTTACTGAAAAACGACATCCAGCTTGTTCTTTAGAAACATCTGCCGAGCTTCATTCGAACTCGCATCAGAGATGAGAGCATCATAGTTGTATTATTCGCAGAGAAACAATGATAAGCAGAGAATCTTGAAAACTTTCTACGCTTGCCCCCTTCCCCCCTTCTGCTCATAATACTCTCGCTATGTGATCAAAGCTGTGTTGCTCCTTGATTTTGAAAAGAACTATGCCAAATCTATTTTGATGTCTATAACACTGAACAAACTCACTCTTGCCCACAGTATACATATAATTCTCAACAACATGAGAACGTACTTACGTTAGTGCTGCATAAATGTGGAGACCACTAGCAATTTAGTCTTCAAAGCTGAATGAGATAACGAGCTGCACACACATGCTGCATTTATGTCTTCTTAATTTCCTACGTCACCAACCGCAGATTTTACCAACTTCCTTCAACTGCACCATCTTTTCAGGTTTCCTCATGCCATGCAGCATTTCTCTCATCAACAAGTGGTTTCCAGCGAGCGAGAAAAACACCGCAGTTCTAACAATTTTCATAGGTAATTGACTCTACGGTAGCATCCCTCCTGACAAGAGTAGCGAGTAAGTAAGAATTCAAAAGTATCAAGACTCACCTAATGCAAATATCGACTGGGTTGATATCATTGCCTCCATCTAGGCAGTCTACTTGGTATTTCTGGATCAATGCTTGTGACACCACTTATGGATAACCTGACTGTAGTACATTTGCCTGGGTGGATGCTAGCGCTGACATCCTACGGTAAAGGAGTCGCTTGGGTATGCCAGAAGCTTTGCGATGTTCTACAATAACATGCAGGTATTATGGGCACCGTACTGACGATTGTATGGGAGAAGCGAGCAGCTTACAAGCCAAGGCATTCAAGTTATGTAACCGCTACTGAATTAGATTATATACGAGGAAAGAGGCTAAATAGACGCATATTCAGCAGAAACGACCTGCGTACTCCACTAAAAAAGGTAAACATATTATTCAATCAAAATCTCATTTGTTCCCCCTTATAATGAGAAGTCTTTCTATATAAGATGGAAATATGCCAGCTAAATTGACAACATCTTATCAATTTCAGATCCTACTTCTGCCGAGTGTTATAGCTATATTACTAAATGGTTTTACTCTCTCATTCGTAAATTCGGCAGCCACAGCCTATCTGCCGATTTTCACCCGCCGCTATGCGCGCATGGATTCTGTGTGGGTACGCAATGTCACAAACTTGATGGACTTACAATTTGTGCAATTTCTGCAATTATCGCAGCTATGTAACCGCCTTTGGCCCTTCTAGCACTAAATTTTCCTACACTAAAAGTATGATGACGCATAAATTCTGTTATCTAGTTTCAAATCCTGAAAATCTTAGCGGACGAAAGATCTCATATTCAGTGTAGACAAGGTAAGGTCCACCCATCGGCATTGTCACGTCCGCGCAACAAGGAAAGGATACTTGATCGAAGTGGAGTTTCATTATGAAATGTATACTGTCTTATAGAGCTTAGGACGCTGATTCCGAACTTCTGGGAGGGAAGTTGTGGGAATTTCTTGGAGCAAAAATTCGAAAGCGCGGCTACAAAATCATTCAAACTGCAATCTATGAGCTCGAATGGGGCTATGATCACTACCAAGGCATTTGTGCAAAACTACCTTCAATCTAATAGGCTCTTGCCAGTCAATACCCCTTTCAAGCGCCGAGAAAATCTCAGCACCTGTTTTTACCTTAGCCAAACCAGTGAATTTTTACCAGCAAAAATTCCCAAAACTGCCCTCCCAGAAGGGCTTTGCAGGTAATGAAAGCAGATTTGTAATCAGCGTTCCATGCTCTATAAGACAGTATACATTTCATATGGGAATCCCACTTCGACCAAGTATCCTTCCCTTGTAAGTCGTAAATATTTCCTTCACAGGCGAACCGAGCTAGGCCTACATTCACAACTAAGGAAGACCTGCTCAAAATCACCACGGTTTTTGCATTGTAGACCGTTGATTATGAATAAATGCTCAAGCAAAAGCTAAACAATTCATTTGTAAATGAGACATCCATTTCTGTATTAAAGACTGTTCGATCTATTGTACTTAAAGGCGCTGATTGCATTTTGGAAAGAGTACGGTCTGGTCTGGAGTTTGGAAACTAATTCTTGATCGCTAATTTGATAACTATTTAGTTGCCTAAGCAAATCTCTAAAATCTCTCATCACTATCCAGAGAACTAGTTCAGGCAACAAGAGTTACCCCCCGTTTGTCTAGACACTGCCTCTTAACCCTTTCGGCAACTTGCCCGCTATAGTCAGATCCTAATTTTCGAGTATTCGTATTCGAATGATTTACTCAAACTGATAAAGTCGAATGCTCAGGAAGGTGCACTTATATGTTTATTCGAATAGTCGAATAAATGAAAAAGACTTTTACTCGACTTATTCGGCGAATCGAAAAAAGAACTTATTCGTATGAACATTCAATATTCGAGTAAAATTCGAATAAGTTGTTTTTACAATTTGCCGGATAAGCAAATATTGGAATAAAAGTCTTTTTCATTTATTCGACTATTCGAATAATTACATAAGTGCACTTTCCTGAATACTCGACTTTTCTAGTTCGAATAAATCGTTCGAATACGAATATTCGAAAAATATTCGGTCATAACTATATTGCCCACCCTAGCACAATTTGAGTAAAGTGCATTAACGGTCAGAGCCCTGCCAATACTATTTAGTGCAACTTCAGCTAAATATGACGTGAATACCTGAAAGCAGTGATTGAAAATATTGTTTCAGAATGGAATCACCTCTTCACTACCTTTCTTAATACAAGCGCTTGCTATTGTTGCAGCCTACTCCGCAGTCAACATTGTCCAGCTTTGTGAAATCTCTACCACAGCGGTGGTCAAAGGTTGTTCGGTGCTAGGTAATTAACTTTTTTATACCCTTAAAAGACATCTTTTTCCTATTCATTTGTACACAAGCACTGAAAGCTAAAGCAAATTATCTGCGCGCGAAAAGAGCGAAAAGATATGACTATATTCGTTTTGAAACATTTCGGAAATTCTTCTCTCCACCAGCTGCTTTCGTCGGTGCTCCTATCCAGGGCTCGGCACGAGCTGGCTACGGCTCCTCTCTTTCTCTCTCCATTTTCCTACCCCTCCACCTCGTCCTCTGGAACCTCCTCTGCACTTGGGACAAACAAAGAAATAGAAAATAAGAAAAAAAGACAGAAAAACAAAGATTATAAAGGAAAAGGACAAAGAGCGCACATCGAAAGTGAAGGATTCGCGCGTCACTTCACAAGAGCGCTTTGCGATTAAAGCAGAGCTTCAATGAAGATCTTTTGAGGACTGTAAAAAAGCCTGGAGGAGATATTATGGAACCCTTTTTTCTCTGTATGACAACGTTTACAATGAAGATACTATTTATGTAAAAAAGTATGAAAACTTATGTGAGCAAAGGGTCGGTGCCAGCTCAGCTGGCACCCAGCTGGCACGGTGCCAGCTAATTTAGAAAAAAGTTCAGCGCAGCTCTCATTCACATAAGTTTTCATAAATTTGTTGGATCATAGTTCGGGTCCCCCAACGCGCATACACACCAAATTTGGTGTCATGTGATTGCGTTTTGTTTGTAAACAAGGCTTTTGTTTGTGTGGGGCGATTCAAATTCCCACGCTGTGTTAGAACCGGCATGTCGCCGGCTTCCAGGCCGCGTGCCGGCGGCGTGTCCTTGGCATTCTAGCAAACGGCGGCATGCTAACCCGCAAAAACGATATCCTTTCTGCTTTCAGCCCAAAAACGATATCCAGCTTGACCCGGTGCCAGCTGTGCTGAGCCCTGCTCCTATCCTCTTTATCCTTTTCAAAATCTGCTGCATGTAATTACATCCATTAGCACACATAGCTGATTCCTTTTGACTTGCTTAAATATACACCGCTCGCAAAACGTACAAAATTTCCGTGAATGTCGATTTCCGTGAAAAGAAAAAGAAGTTCCGCGGAGTTTCTCGATATTCCGCATATTCTTCGACATTCAGCGAAATTCCGGAGATTGCGCGAAATTCCAAATTTCGCGGAATTCCCTGAATGCCGCACAACCCCGGGGTATTTCGCGAAGTTTCGGGTTTTCAGCGAAGATCCGTGACATTCACGAGAATTTTGCGCGTTTTGTGGGCAGTACTGTAGCTGCAAACGAATTAAAACAACAATCATTTGGAAAAGTGTAGTTTTTTGGTACCTGTGTAAATTAGTTTGCCATACTTTTCAGGAACGTCTATCGCATCTTCCTGCATCATTGCATTACTTGGTATCCAGCCTAGTCGAATTTTCTTGACCACTGCGCTGCTGTGCATAGGCATGGGCTTTCTTTCAGCTACAATAGTAGGAAGTGTTATCAGCATTAGGGCTGTGGCACCACAAGTGAGGACATCCGAGAAGATCTCAAATCAGAAGGAAGAGCTCAGTTTTGCGATTTTACAGTATTCACATCTGGTCTTGACCTACTTTGATGGATTTGCACAATTTGCTGGCGTGTTAGCTCCAATTGTTACTCAGATGTTATCCATAAGCGTAAGTACTTTACGCAGTTAGAACGAATCGAAAACCCTAACAAGGGAAGGATACTTGGTCGAAGTGTTGTTTCCATATGAAATGTATACTATCTTATAGAGCATAAAATGGTGATTCCAAATCTGCTTTCCTTATCTGCAAAGCGCTTCTGGGAGGGGAGCTAGAGAATTGTTTTATGCAAAAATTTGAAAGCGCGGCTATAATGCAGTCATCGAAAACATTTATCCTCGAGCTCAAATGGGGCCAAGATTACTGATTACTGCCAGGGGCTTATATGCAATAGATATCTTCAGTCTAATACACTCGTGCCAGTACTCCTTTCAAGAACTGGAAAGGTCAACACCTGTTTTTACCTTAGCCAAATCACTGAATTTTTACCTCAAAAAATTCTCAGAATTCCCCTTCCACAAACGCTTTGCAGAGGAAAGCAGATTTGTAATCAACGCTTCATCCCTATAAGATAGTATACATTCCGTATGGAAACGCCACTTCAATATGGTATTCTTCCTCTGTAAGAATGTTTTCTAGGAAAAATCAATGCCATCACGAGCGCTGCTATGCATCTTAGCTGTTCTACTCGTTACAGGACTATATTTTGCAATATTTGGTCAAGGTCAGTGACTTGTAAATTTCAAGAGTGAAAACCATCAACTGCAGGTCGTCGGGAAATTATCAACGAACTCTTCGCGAGAAGGCTACTCGAAGATTCAACATCTAGAGGAGAACACAGAGTGCAGGTAACCTACTGAATGAAATCTGCATGCACATTTATTTGCACTCAGAGTTTGTTGTACCCAAAAAATTGAAACTCACAGCAACAGAACCTTCTGTAGTAAAAAAAAGTCAAAAGAACCTATTAGGATCATCAGTATCTAGGTGACATCCAGGCAACATGACTTCCTACTGGATAATGACTAGGAGGCATAACCTCGCCATTGTGCAGCAGCTCATTTGATTCATTTGGCTGGGAAAACTAATGAAATCTCGTGCACACCGTACTCAGGGGCGTTGATTGGTCGGCTTGACGTACGGTATCGGGTGTGAGTTCAGGCTTGAATGGTCAGCTTAGAAATACGGTATTAGGCATGAATTCATTTTGAATTTTCTGGAGCGAATATATGAACTACCGCCCGCTTGAGCAACGGTCACTTGGAACCCCCAATCGCTTTCCAAGTAAGAGGTGAGGAGAGGAGAAATATGGTTGAGATAGGGTATTTTTCTCATCACAAATTCTGTCTGTTTACGTCGTAAGAAATGTCAGAGAAGATAGTAATGATTTACTGCGCAATGTCTTAGAAGATTTCTGAATTGTTCGAACTTTAGTACATCAAACTTCGCTAGACTGAAAACTTCAAAAAAATTCGCTTTGCATTTGTTTCAGAGCTCTTCTGGCGCTCCCACATCTATTGCACCTCCCGAAATCCGAGAAGTTGACGCAGTTTTCATCGAAGGAGAAGCGAGCATTCCACTAAGATATGATGACCTGTCCGTAGACTTCCTTGAAGATCTTACATCTGACGAAGAATATTGATTCTAGTCGTGATCTATAGTGCCTTCAATTCTGTGAAACGTTGTACGGGTTTGTTTTGTTGCTCATGTGTCCCCTACCGTTTTTCTTTGCTTCTGTGATTTTCTTGGCTGTGATTTTTCTTATTTATAATCGGAATTTCCTTTGACTTAACTTTGCTGTTTGCTTCCCACAAATTGCAGAATGTTTTAGGCTGCTTCTGAAAACAATATAAGTTTTACAAGCCGTTCTCTAAAATTATGACTGATTAAGTCATCTGAAGTTTATGTATAAACCATCTATTTTATGCATGGCATTTACATGATAGTATGCTAATTTTCATCATTTTCCAGCCATGATATCTGTGATAGTAAAGTTATCCCGAATAAAAAAACAAAGTGCATAAGGCTCACTACGCGGCTTAAATTTATTTAGAAACTTTCGAAGCGGGAGAACGATGCAAATTTCTTTTTTTTTTGAATTTCGTGGAGTTGGTTGGCCTACAACCGCAATCTTGATTTTAAGAAAACTCTACAATATAAAGATCGCGAGCGAATGTAGAGAGTAGACGCTTTGGGAAATTTATTGAAAGATGCTACCTTAGTAGAGCCCAGATATAGTATCGCGAAATCAAATGTTTGCTTCTCGCTTCTATTCTGTGACTTTTGAGGTACCCTCTAGCACCTCATACGATTTTTTTTCGCCGCTTCATCGCGGTTTCGTGATTTGACTTTCGCTATGAATTCCAGTTTGCTTTTCCTTTCCTTCCTGAGTTGATAACGCAAGACACCCAATGAAATTTACGCCATCATCAGTTTAAGCAGGATAAAACTCGTGGTCTCAAAGGCGGCTGCATCTTTTTTTCTCTCTTAGATGGTGGTTTAGACATTTACGTGGTGTTCTGAAAGTGTTTTACTTCATAGTTGCAATACACATACTGTTTGATAAATGAACCTCCTACGATTGTCTTTAACGGTTGCCGGTACACACTGGGATATTTTTTCTTTTAGATTGCACTATTGAACGAATGCTTGAATTCTCTGCATTATCACTGAGCGCTTAAAGGCAGCGTCCGGGCAAAAACGAAACTGTAGCGTACAGGGACCCTCGGCCTGGTGGAGCTCTTGCCCAAGTGGCATTGCACCATTTTGTTTCTGAAGCGAGAAAACCGCTTCAGAAGTGGCGACAGGACCGCCCCGACGACGTGCCAGCCCCTTCAATCGATAGCCGGAGTACGTATGTCGAGCACGCGACTCTGCGTCTTAACCTCGGCGGTAAGCGTCATTATTCAAAATCAACTGCTTCTGGAAAAGCCCTTTTTCGACATCTTCGTTCTCTGCAAGCTGCATTTTCGGAATCAACGGGAAGAATAAAGCCAGGTAAGCGAGAAAAATTTTGTTCGAGATTTTGCCCGGACGCTGCCTTTAAAGGCACCGTTCACTCAGGGGGTTGACGAGATTATGACTCCACTAGCTGGCTTACCCGGCTCCGCCGTATGTTCCGAATAGAAAATTCCACTTCTTAACCCCACGGGGGTGATCAGCATGCTCGATTACCCCCCCCCCCCCCCTGTGCCAACTCCCAGCCCCGTAGCTCAAATTTTGCAAAAAAATCGATAAAATCGATATCGATCGATGACGAAAAGTAGCCTACGACATCCGCCGGGGCCCGAAATGTATGTGTGCCAATTGGTCCGGATCGGTTCAGAAATAAAAATTTCTATTCGGAACATACGTACATACAGACATAGACATACATACAGACATACATACAGACATACATACAAACAGACATTCAGCTTTATATATAAGATACTAGCGTGGGCCCCCAAAATATTCAGACCCCCAAGTTGCGCAGCAGAAGATTGTTTCTGGCGCGAGAAATCCGATCCGGAAGGGACGTAATCCGTTGCTGGTCACCCCGCCCACTTTGCAAGCTTGCAAATGACGCGCTCGGCGTATAACCGCGCCGCAACCCCGCGACATGCATTGCACCCTTCTCCAAAACGGGGGGCTGGGGGGGGGGGGTTCGAGGATTCTCGACTCTATGTTCGGAACCAGGACCTTCACAAGGCCTGGAAGCGATAAAAACATGGAAGTCGAGAATTTAATTGGACGGTGCCTTTAAACTCCCTTCACGCCTGTAATAACAGGGTAGGCCCCTCATCCAACCTTATTTGTTTACGAGATAATTATTCCATTGCCCAGAAAAACCTCGGAACGATGAGATGGAAGATGATAGCACAATTAAATTCGATATCTAATCAAGCTGTTTTAAACCATGATCAGACGAATCAGAAGATGTGAACAGATCGAAGGAAAAATTAGCAGCTGCACAGACGATGCCTGCGCGAAAAAAGTGTGCTGCATTCGATTGGCTTGACGTCTATAATAGTTTAATTTTTCGCTACCCTTTTTGCCACCTAGTACAGTGCTGTGATAGTTTCTAACTTTTTGCTTTTTTTCCTCATAGTCAATCCTTTGGGATTTATTCAGCTATAACGTTGTTAGGTCATTATGTTTATGCAACATCTTATATATAAAGCTGAATGTCTGTTTGTCTGTATGTCTGTCTGTGTGTACGTATAGATCATTTATAAAATGACGACGGCTTTTACTGCGGACTTCGCGCTCACAGGAACATAAAACGCTCATACAAAACGGCATCACCTCAACTATCAGCTCAGTCTCTTTCAATGTCCAGATACTGTTATACTTAAGCATAAAAACCATCCGAGTAGAGATAAAAACCAAGAAAATGCGACTTTCGGAAGTGGCGTGCGTGTCGCGCGCGGTCGCGCCATCGTCACAATTTTTCAAATGCACTATATGCTCCGGATAGAGATTTCCATTTCTGAACCGATAACGACCAAACTTTGCACACATACACTCCGGAGCGGGGCGCGTGTCATAAGCTACTTTCGTCATTGATCGCTGTCGATTTTATCGATTTTTACCGATTTTTCGTAAAGTTCAGCTTGCGGGGCTGGGAGTTGGCAAAGGGGGTAAGTGAACATGGTGATTGCAAATACAATATTAGTTTTTGAAATTATCCATTGCTTTTATCGATTATCGATTTTTTGCAAAGTTCAAGCTGCGGGGCTGGGAGTTGGCACGGAGGGAGGGGGGGGGGGGGGGGGGGGGTAAGTGAGCATGTTGATTACTAATACGGCGGCAGAAGGGAATTGGCATGTAGAAGTGCGCACAGGGAAAGGTTTTACAGTATAGGGATGAGACCTTTATCGTAGTTTTTTGACAGGACCGGGCGGAGCCGGGTAAGCCAGCTAGTATTTTTATAAATGATCAGATAATTCCATGCGAAATCCGCGATAAAAACGTTTTTCTCATAACATTACACTTTGAAAAGTTGTATGTTGATACTTTCACGTTCTGTGTCGAAGACAAAACACTTGCTTGTCACTTATGCTTAATCATCCTTTTTCTTCGTGCTTATCCAAACACCCTCCAACTAAAAGTCGTGCTACGCCCAAATTCAATATATTTCCTTTTATGACTTGACTTCTTATAGTTTTATCACTTATTTTCTAGCTACCTTACAAGTATTATGATTACGATGTTTTATTATCCAAAGTTCTCAGATTCTATCTTAATGTGTTATTGTTACATTCCAAGATGAAGTTTGATTACCCAAGTTAAAGATTGCACTGCGAAGTGATTAACGGTTGGTCCACATGGCTGCCACAATAGCAATGTTAATGGCGTAAGACAAGTTCGCAATTTATAACTGAAAAAAAATTTTTTGCACATTAGGAGGTAAAGACAGTCTTGCAAAACGAAAATCAAACTATTTTATTGGAGTATAGAATTTGTTGAAAAATTCATCAAAAGCGATTTTGTGCATCGCATCAAATTAATGCAAACCTTGGAAACCTAAGAATTTTTTGATTTTACCACAAAAGACATTATGGTTGACTGTTAATTGGAATAGGCTAGTCTCATAATTTTACAAAAATGAAATCATGCTCAACAATTGTATACAATTCTCGTTCCCATGGTTCTGAGTGCGACGCTTCTCGTCCGCTTTATTTTCAGATGGTTGGACGATAAGACGCAACGCGTCTACCGAGACAAAATATAAACGTTCATGTTGCTCCTCGTCAAACGCTGTCAGGCATAATCATTTTATGTGAGTTGGTTCTTCCTACTTACATAGTTCCTCTTTCTGCTTTTCCATGCAAAGTTTTAGAATGCAGAAATGTGACCGTTGACTATGCTAGTGCAGCAAGTATAGGTAATTTGAAAATCGTGACGACGGACATTACTGCGGTCTTTGCGCCCGAACGAGCAAACACTCACACAAAAACGCATTACCTCGACGCTTAGCTCAGTCACTTCCATTGTGTAAATACCGCCATACGTATGCAGAAAAATTATTAGAAAAAAGCATGAAAATACGGTTGCTGAAAGTGCGTGCGTGTCGCGCGCGGTCGCGCCATCGTCACGATTTTTCGAATACCCTGTGCAGGGTGTCCCAAGAAAAAAATGTACTGAATTTTATCTTTGATAACTATTTGGGAAAGCTTTCGTGGTACTAAGACACCACTTTGCAAAGCTCGATTCAACTTAGATTGACAGTGTAGATAGAATCACTGACGCTTTTTTATTACAGTATATCAAGAAAGAGTTTTCAGTCCCATTGTGAATGAGCCGTTGTTTCGAAAAAATTTAAAATCTGGAAAATGGCGTACATGCATTTTGAGCGTTGGGAATACAACTAAACTATTACACTGTAGCGGACCGAGGGAGCGCCCCTCCCCACTCCCCAGAGTATGGGTTGCGAAATCTTGAAAGTTACATGCATGAGTAGATGCGCAAAAGTTTTTTTACTTCAAAATAATCGAAACACATTTTAATTTTTAAAATTTAATTCAGCTTTGCAAAAAAAATTTTTTGCACACCCCTTTTCCTGGAATGCACCTCTGTCTGGAAAAAATTTTTTGTCCTCCCTCCCCAGGACGGAAGTCCTGGGGCCGCCACCGCACGGTACAGTGCAAACGTTATATTGAAAATCAGCATCTCTGATTAGTCTAGTGCAAGAGTTTCCAAGTTTGATTTAGTTTTTGTAGCACTGATAGCTCATGAC